AAATTGGCACTTCATTCAGCTCAATATGTGCATCGTAAAGACCCTAGAAAACACTCTTGCTTTTTTGTATTAAAAAAATAAAATTTTGCCAAGTAAAAGTGTAAAAATAATTTGTTAAAAAGAAGAAGAACGAACATGGCACAGTCACAATAACTAGTTACTGTAAAAAAATGAACTTTGCGGCCAGAAACTGAGTGCTGTGCTCACGTTTTTCAGTTTTCAGTTGCTATAGTTTCAACTGCGTCATCCTTCGTTTTCCAGTAAGTAGCTACGGGGTCATATGTGGGTAGAGAACAGTCCCCTAAAAACCCAGCGTTCTGGCTTTTGCAGCACCAAAATTATTAAGTTTAGCGCCAAAACTTTCATGTGGTCGTACGCTGAAACCTTGACACACGTACGAACTGAATTTAAGTTTGCAAGCTCTCACGCGAATATTACCCTACAATTTCAGCTTTCTAGCTTCTCTGATTCCCGAGTTGAAAACCCCTGACAAAAAGCACTCGAAACACATACACATACCCAATATGCTTTTTTTGTAACTGTTACAGTACAAAACGCATTAAAAAAAAACAAACAAGTTAAAAGATTATCATCCACACGACTAAAAACGGAGCTTCATGACTTAGCTGAGATAGAAGGCTTAATTTAAATAAAGCATTTCTTCCGAAAATCTAGAAATAGACCCCAAAAATCTCGCTTTTTATTAATTCTGGATTTTTAACAAAAACAACCAAGCAAATAGAGGCAAAGGCCTTGCCGTAATCAGTTTGTGATAAAAACAAAACACAGTGAAATCAACTGCTCAGCGAATTTTACCTCGTTAAAAAAATCTCCAACCCATTTGGTGACCATTAGGACGAGCATAATCGGTAAGCCGAATGTGATGTCTCTGGTTGCTTCAACAAGAATTGCTGTCAGGCTGATGGTCATTCGAACAACACCACCAAGTTGTGCAGCTGCTCCCGCAAGTGCATATTTGCCCGGATGTAAACCGGTCTATAAAAATCATGAGATATTTTAGGAATGCCAAAAACTATATAAAAACACCGCGAACGAGAACTGAAGCTTTATAGGAAGTGCGAAAAATCGAGCGATTAAATCCAAAAGTTATTAGAGTTTCACAATCCGCAAATTTGGCGAGATTTAGGGCCTCTTTGTCAACTGCAAAAAAAATATGCGGGAATTAAACACAGACATATATCCACACATATACACACACCTACGCACATACACACACACACACACACACACACATAGACTGCACCCTTTGTGTCTGCACTGATCCCTTACTTCCTACCCTAATATTTACTACATCATAAATGGTGGAAGCTGCAATCATCGTAAATCTGCCAAGCCATACATCAGGCACATCTCCCTCTTTCTCACTGGCGAATTCAGGGCAAGA